GCGGGCCCCTGCCTGGTGGCTCGTCATGAGAGACCCTCGTAGGTGGAAGTGAAGGATGGATGTGGCTATTTGCACCTGCCAGTGTTAGCTCCCCTAATGATGATGAAGACTATACAGTAACCGCCCCCCCCCCCCCCAGAAGTTTAGAAATAAAAACCACGTGAATGAAGCCTGTCACCACCACCTCCTATTCCTCCAGAGTTCATCACTGGGTTCCTGTCAGAGCTCCATAAAGCCCCTGATGAGAATGGGCTGGGAAGTGTCACTTCTGAGGTCTACAGCCGCACCCTGGCCAAATTCCATGGCTGGGTGGTGGCCAAGACTGTTGGTGCAGTGCTCCTGATGATGCCCACCAAACACACCATTATAGAGAGGGTACGTTGTCTATTGTGCTTTTGTGTGTGTGTGCAAAGGGGGATAGATAACCTTAGATTTGGGAAATTATTGAGATTTTTTTCCCCCTTCCTGTAAGTGTTATAGATGTGCTATATATCTGTTTGTGTATATATATCTGTATATTTTTCCTCTCCTAACATTGAGCTTTTGCTAAGGTGCTGGAGTATGTAGAACTAACAGCTTTATAGCTTATTTTTGTGTATTGATTTGATGAATGTGCTTTCTCATGTTTTTGTTATTTGTAATTGCACACTAATGATTGTGTTTACTCCCTTGTCCTTTCCTTTCCCTTTTTCAAGTTTAGCTGGCAGTTGTAGTAACATACCCCCTATCATTATTGGACTTGAATTTGATATTTAGTTCTTATACACTGTGTGTGATATTAAGTATCAATCATTTTGATTAAGGTTCATCATTATAACAGTTGTGCCTTTCACATGGTTTGAGTAATTGTAATCTTTCATAATATTTTACTGTCAGTACACCATCCATCCATCCATCCACTTTTTTTCCTCTTGATCTTGTATAGTCTGTCATTTAACTTTTTTCATGCTAACAAATGCATTTCAGATCTTTAAGCATTAGCAGTCAACTAATATCTAGTTACAGGGAATACTTATAAGTGTGTCTATGTTAGAGCTCCCATTTCTTTTCTTCTTTTTTCTATTTTTCTTATGAAGCTGTTTTTAAGCCATGTGAGGCACTTTTGGGAATAGTTATGTTTTTCCAATTGATCATTGTCAGATCGAATAAAGCACAGTGATTATACAAATATACAATTTTTTAAAGATGGTAGAGAGAGACAAGGGAGGGAGGGGGAAGATTAGCTTGGATGTTTTCTTTCTTTCTATTTATTTGTTTATATATTTATTTTCCTCCTTTTGCCACCTTTTCCTCCTCCTTTTAGAATCTTTAGTTGCTTAGACATCAATTCTCTTACTCCACCTCATTGAAATGTGATATATATACACATTTCCACAAACATGTCCCCCTCCCTAAAAAAGAAGTCTTACCAAGATGTTATTATTTTGTCTCCAGGTATCTCTGGCAAGTAAACAGGTAAGTTGCCATTGATATTATTGCAAATTTAATTTTTGGTTATGAAAGAATTTTGTTATTATTACTGAGAGATAAGTTTTTTTTGTTTTTTTTTTAATCTGACATGTGTTTGAGGTTATTTTTTCTGTTTATGCTGATTAACAATCAGATTCCTGTGTTTGTAGCTAAAAATAATGTGTTTGATTATTAAGATAGTTAAGGCATTGATCATACTATGTTTATATTTTGAAAGTAACTATATGAAATCTTTATATTTCTGAGGGGATTCTTCCATTTTGTACTTTCTTCAAGTGTGTTTGCATGTACACAAAAACATTTATGCATACTTACTTGCACGTTACGAGATAGACAACTATAGATTTATATTTTTCTTTCTTTCATTCAGTGCATTATTCAGTAATTTATTTGACTTTTTTTGTCAGAGAAACTAGATTAGTGGAGTAGATGTAAACTAGAAAAGAAAAGGAATAGGTAAATAGACAAAACCAGTGAATTTTTTCTTCTTTCTTCTTTCTCCTTTGAAATATAATTGCTATTTTTTTTAGTGGTTAAAAACGGAAACTTGTCTATTCTTATATATTTTTCCTACTTGTTCTTTTTCATCTTTTTCTTCATTTCATGGATGCTGATAAATCTCAATTGTTCTGTATTGCGAGTGCTTTTAAATTTCAAGCCTTTTCAAAGTATATCTGTATTTTGTTTATGTACAAGATTTATAGATAGAAGTGTGTGCAGATATTAATTGAATATGATGTATTTTATATGATATTCAACTGTAATACAGAAGAACGGGCTTTTAATTTGCAAAATGTTAATTGTTTCCTTGAATATAGATGTAATTTTGTTATTTAGATGTAATTTTGTAATTTATTTATCATCTGGTACACAATGACATGCTTATTTACCCGTCAGGTCAATTCATATGGTAATGGTTAAAGATTGGAGGGGAAAAGGATTACAGATTATACTGAACTTCTCACTAGCATGGACTTTCTAGAGTCATTTCTCTGAAATTGCTAACGGAATATTCTTTTGATTTTTTATTAAGCACATGTAGATTAAATTATTTAAAGATAATTCCTTCTATCTTCATCAGTAGGAATATGTATAGTTCTATGTGCATGTTACAACTTTCTTTTAAGTGTAAATAACTGAGTTAGATCTTTATTATCAGTCTGCCTCATACCAGGTAAGTATTTTGTCTTTTGCTTTCCGTGTATAATTAAGCATGAAACACTTTCAGAAGTATGTAGGTTCAATATAAATAGACATTAATCATTAAGACTGTATGATTTAGAAATACAATATACAGTTCAACAATACAGCAGCATTCCTAACATTTTCATTCTTAATATTCTGATCTTTCTATTCATGATAATGAATGTAATGATCATAAGAAAAAAACTTCTGCAAATATCTTATTAATGCTTTACAAAAATATTTCTGCAGGTGACCGGTGGCATTGAAGCAGTGAGAGCCCACAATGAAGCTCTCATGCCCAAAGCAATAGAAGTCATGACATCAGTGTATAATTTAACGCAGAAGCTCTACGAGGATTACGAAATCCTTGACTTGCCATAGGATTTGTGTTTGCTGTCATGCAAGAAGGAGTACAGACTTGTTTTTGGAATGGGCATGTAAAAGATAGATTTTATTTTATTATTACTTTTTTATTTTTTCCTGCTATTGGTGAATGTGTGAAGAATATGGTAGGGGATGTAGTAGTCCTTAACCCCATTCCAGTGGGTCACGTGTACAGGCGTCATAACATACCACTTGGTCTGTAAGGTACGGCTGTACACGTGGTGACGCACCAGAACGTGTGGAGTGGGAAGTTCCGCTACATGTAGTGGACTCCTGCCCCCCAGCATCAGGATGCTGCCAGAAATCACCAGAGCTTATGATGCTCATAGATTTCTGGCACCTGTCAGTGTTGGGTGAAGGGAGCCCCTTGCCTGCAGATCTATGAGAATGAATTTATGTGTGGAGAAGTAATTTCTCTTTTTTCTTTCTCTCTCCTTTCCTTCCTTCCTTCCCTCTCTCCTTCA